CTGTTGATCAAGTCTGCGCTCCTCCAAACGTCGTGACTTTACTCCCTGAAAACACAAACGTGAGCTAGCCGGTGGGTGTGTGCCGGAAACCCCTCCGATGCCTAAGTCAGCAAAATAGACAAGTAGACAAAAAGGCCTGTGTCTCAAAGTTTTGTTACCTCTCCCTAGGTGATGTTTGTGAGTTTTTATAGGTTCCGTGTGGCACAATCCAAGTAGGACTCTTACTCCTCCATGTAGAGTCCTCCTAGGATTCATACTCCTGAAAGATAATGCTTATCCTTCAACACCCCCCTCACTGCTTAAACCAAGTGAGATGGTTTTGCCATGGCCGGACTACCATACAACCGAAATAATATTGCCATGCTAGACTAACTGGAGTGACCGATCTAACTGTTAGTTCGGCTATTCCTTGCTTTTCCCCTACCTCGGCTTCACATGCCAAGACCGAGCTATCATAGAAGAGCTTAAGCCGAACTAACCCAAAACCAAGTCCTGAAGAGGGTTCAGTATGCTTCCTCACTTCTACCTCGGCTTTGCATGCCAAGACCGAGCTATTCGTAGAAGAGTTGGACCGAGCTAACCAAGAACAAAAGTCCCAAAAAAGGCTCCGTATATCTCAGCTAAAGATTACAACCGGGCCAACAAATTTGATCGTGGCGACCGAGATAACAACAAGGCCTTCTTGAACCATCCTAATGAAAAAAGTCATTTTACTCCGCCTTTCTTACTACGGCCCAAAGCGACCCATTACCCAATCTCGGCTCAATTTATTCATATAAATTACCCTCTCAGGTTTGTAGCATTACTCATATAGGAATTATAATTAAGGACAATATAGAGCTAGCCTAGTTGGTCATCATGACTTTCCTAAGGGTTTAGTCTCCGAGGAGGTTATGGATTGAACTCTTTTTTAGGAGAGTTGAATTAAGGGAACAAATACTTGATACTTCGCAAAGGATGAGAGTTAAATTAAAATGACAAGTACTTGATATTTTACAATGGATGAGGAGGCTAACTCTAATAAGTGTTAACAACTTACATGATATTTTACAAAGGATGAGGAGGCTAACTCTCGTAAGTGCTAATAATTGACTTTCGCTGATCAAAAAAAAAAAAAAAGGAGAAATATCATTTCAGTGGAATTTGGGAAAAATAATTACATATTAGTGAAAACTATACAATTTTAAAAAATAAAATTGTAAACTTATTCATCAATTGAAATTATTTTATGAAATTTCTGCTACAATGCTATTTTCCTTTCTAATATTATGGGTGAAATAATTTTTTTATTTTTGGAAAGCATTAAATTCATTCATTGTCAAAAAAGCCGTCATTTGGCTATGTTTTCCTATCAATGGAGCAGTGTTGTAACTCTATTAACTTATTAACATTTTATTGTGTAGATAAAAAATTATTATTAATTATTAGGCATAATTCATTTTTTATTTTTTATTTTAAAAGAACCCGAGTTATTTTAATTAGTTGTTGAATATGCTTCTTACATGAATAATGAATACCTCCATAATTCTACTTACCCATTAACCCATTAAATATTAGATTGAATTTTTAGTTTGAATCTACTATTGATTTGTAAATAGGTGAATACAACCTATTGATTTGCAAAAAAATACTCACATGACATACATTCGAAATTTTAAATTAGATGTACGTTGATGGTCACCTGACCGAGAGAAGTTAGGCTTAAACAATAAAAAAGAAAGATAAATTACAAATATACTTTTTGAAATTTGTTTAAAATATAATTTATCCCCTACGATTTTGGAAACTACATCTCATTCCTTGAAATTTTTAATTTCATAACAAATAACTCATTTTATTAATAAATCATCAAGTCAAGTAATATTTTTTAATGATATCAGAAATTTATTTCAATTAATATGTAATTTTATTAGAGGGAATTACTTATCAATTAGACAGAGAAAAAAATATCCAAACATGGAGGGGTGCAAGTGAGACTTGCACCCCCAATGTTTTTGTTTTTTTTTTTCCTGTCCCACTGTTAAGTAATTTTCCATTTTATTATTGTATATGAGAGTAGTTAAAATTTTTATTTTTTAAGTTAATTCTGTTAAATAAAAAAATTTAACAATGAGATATTTGTAATTTTTCAAATTATGAGAAGTAATCTGTATTATAAACAAATATTAGGGTGTCTATTTGTAATTTATCTTAAAAAGAAAGATGTGTGTGAAAAGTTATTTGTTGGTCTTGAGGGCACAAGGTTGTTGTGATAAGTGGAGGAGACTGAGTCCACGATTTTGTGTTAAATGATTGGAAAACAATAAAGAACATAGTGTATTGTGATTAGTAAGAAGTGCAGCCACATGGCTCTCCAGGAGCACCAAATAATTTTTCTAGGTGTGTAGCTTTTTTTCACGGTGGGTGTATGATTACATAAAAACAAAAGGGTCAAAGTTTTGGTGGAAATTTTATATGCCCATGATGTTGGTAGTCTTTAGTTATAATTTATTGCGGTGTTAGTTATGATTTGATTCTACATATTATAATGTTAGTTATGATTATTTATTATGATATTAGTTATAACATTATTTTGGTTTATGATTTAAAATCTCTTTAATTATATTTTATGTGGTGTTTGGTTAAATTTTTAATTTTTATTTTTTAATTGTGACTCTAAAAAGATTCAATTATAATATTTGTCATAATTAAGCCCACAAAGGTCATAACTTATATAGTACATACTCTTTTGAGTATCAAAAGAGTGTGTATCATACCAAAAGTGAAATTTTTATAACGTGCAAAAGCCATATTTGTTTGGTTTTATAAAGTGAAGGGGATTAAGGGTACGGTAATATTGAGTGAGGAGATTATTAATATAACGGTATTAAGTTGGAGATGTAAGATAAAAAAAAAATATTTATTTGTACATCACCGGATTAATAATACTATAGATAGTATTAGTATATAAAATTAATATTTTTTAATATTATAATTTAATTTTTTTGTTCTAAAAAATTATTTAAAAATTCACTAATTCCCCACTCAATTTTTAATTCTAACCCCACATGAAATTAATAATCCTATCAATGAAGGAGATTACTAATTTAAGAAGATAGTCAATTTTCAATCACCTCATCTAAAAAGTCAAACAAACATGCCAAATCGTGAAATAAATAACTCAACACCAGTCGGTCAAAATGGAGAGAAATTGTCGAATCAAATAAAAATATAAGAAGTTATGGTAATGTTTGTCATTCAGATTTGGACCATGTTTGACTATCTCCGTTTATCATATGGCACTATCGATTTCTGGGGAAAACACTTGGATGTACACATTACACATAGGGCTGTGATTGAGCTTTACTATTTAAATTTAAAAATTAAATTTATTTTTTAAATTAATGATATAGTAATCAATTAAAAATATTAAAGACGACACTTTTTCTCATGTATTTTTTAATTATCAATCAATCATCTCACTTATACATTATTGAATTTAGAAAGTAGATTTATATATCATTTTTTTATTAAGAATAAATCAATCGAGTTAGTTTCATTGGTTAGATTTTTTACCCTTCATTGAGAGATTAGGAGTTCAATTCTTTTTATTTATCGCAAATTATACCGATAGTCTTTATATTTTTTCTCTTGTATCATTTTAATTCCTATACTTTCAATTAGCTCAATTTTAACCATTTAATTTTAGATTTCATGTCAATAATGCTATTAGTGTTTTTTATGAAAAATTATCCCTGAATTAGTTGAAGTTAATTCACTGAGTTAAATAAATTTATAATTTTGCCTTGAAAAATATGACATATATCACTTATGTACATATTTTTCATTGAAAAAAGCAAACAATTATAAGCAATTAGACTAAATTGAAGCAAAGTCATAAATTCAGAGTCAAAATCAAATCAATTAAAATTATAAAGAACAAAATGACACAAAAACTAAAATACAAGGACTATGAACGTAAGATATGGGTTCATTTCCTCGATTTTATTTGGGATCTTTCTATCACTTTGTATGTAATTATAATTGTGATTCATTCTTATTTATTATAATTGAAGCACATTTAATAAATAATTTTTTTAAAAAAAGATTAAATGGGAGATAAATAATTATTTGGTGATTTTTTTAATAAATATTATACTTTTTAATTATATCTAGATTGGGTGTATCTAACAAATAAAAAAATTACATAAAATATTAAAAAAATCACTAAAAATAAAAATAATAAAAAAATTAATTTTATGAAAAGTGAGTTAAACCAAACAAGTTGGGAACATACCTCTGGCCTTGAATATAAATTCTATTTATCTCATTCACCAAAATATATCACATACTCCCACCCATATTTATTTATTATTATTATTTTTTTTTAAAATATGTTGTTGGTAGATTAATATGTTAACATGCTAATAGGCATTCGGTACTTTTTCAAACCCAGAACCTCTCCCTTTAAAATTAGAAGGTATAACCAGTTGAGCCAAGCTTATGTCCACTCATATTATTATCTTACCGAAAATTTTTATTTTTTTTATAATATATGCTAGTCAAATTAACATGACCAAAAATCAATAACTAAAGAAAAATGTATAGGAGCTCTAAAGGAGCTCTAAGGGGTGAGTCATATCTATTGATGTGATGTTTTGTTCTTGATTTTTTTTTTTTTTTTTAATTTTCACATTATTAAAGTTCAATTAGAGTTCCGAAATTTGGGAATGTATCATTGCTGATAAATAAATACACATGACTAACAATATTACGCACTCTTTAAGAAAAAAAAAAAGTTATAATTAAGTAGTACATATAATTCTCCTTATTGAATTTGAATCATACACTTTATTTCCATAATACATATACATTTTGAGATTTTATTTTTTCATGTTTTTATTTTTTTGTGGAGGGTATGAAGTTTTCTGTAAGAAACAAATGTTGAATAACAACATTTCCACATCTCCACTGTCAAACTAACTGCAGGACTGGTGTCCACCTAACTACATTTAACTCTCTCTCTCCTCTGCTATATATCATTAATATACAGAAATATATATATAAAGGGTTAAGAGCCAAAGTTGACAATTTTCAGAAGAAGAGAGAAAACTGGGAATGGCTTCCAAGACGATGGATCTATACTTGAGCTTTCTTGGCTCTCTGCTTCTCTGTGGGATGCTATTTGGGGTTGCTCATGCCGATGTCCGTTACTATACCTTTGTTGTAAGTACATTTTCTTTAATTCCACCACTTCATGTTTTCATTACAAAATTACATGTTATATGCACTGAGAACAGTCAGTCATTTATGCTCTTCTAAACACATTGTCACATTTTGCATATATACTTAACATGGTTTTAGATATCGGATGATATGTATTGATTTTTATAATTTTCTAATACCAATCAGCTTGCTTGGTTCCCATTTTCTAAAAACAGTTTTCAGAAAATTCTACTTTCTTATTTTTCGTGTTTTTTATTTTTATTTTTATTGAATTTTTTTAATATTTTATGCAAATTTTTTACTTTTTAAACACACCTAATATAAATACACCTAAAAAGTAAAAAAATTATAAAAAAAATCTTTTAAAAATTCATTAAATACCAAAAATACAAAAAAAATACAAGAATTTAGTACATTTTTTGTATTTTTATGTATTTCTTAATTTTTTAAAATATTTTTTCACAATTTTTTTACTTTTTAGATACGTCTAAGTAAGGTGCATCTAAAAAAGTAAAAAAAAATGTTTAAAATTTTAAAAATATTCACTAAAAACAAAAAACACACGAAAATCAAAAAACTCAGTTTTCAAAAAACTTAATTCAGAAAACTCAAACCAAACACACTGATACAACCCAAAATATTGATTATTGATACAGTTAGGATGCGTTTGTTTGGAAGGATTGGAGGGGGAGTTTGGACCCAATGTCCATTTCATCGAAGAGTCCATTATTTGATTAAAAATTTGTAGGTCGGATTAAGAATCAAACTGAACTCAATATCTTTCATATGTGGGATTGTCGTGTCCTATAGGAGATGTGAGATATAAATGGTGGGATAACAATCCCATGCGATCAACTTGTAAAAAGTCACTTTTGCCCAAATACATTTATCTTAATTATTTTTCAATTGTTTTTTTTTCAAATGATAGGATAAAAATTCAATTTTTTTCAAATGGTGGGATAAAGATTCAATTTATTTTTTTCATTACTACATAGACAATTTGTTTGGTTTTATTATGTATTGTACTTAGTAAAATAAAATAAAATTTAAAAGTCTCAACTAAAAAATAAAATAAATTTATTTAATTTCTATTGATGTTCTATTTATTTAATTTTTTAAAAGTTCTAGTCAATAAATAAAATAAAATTTATAAGTCAAATTTAGTATTGCTATTATTTAATAAACAATTCAAAAAGGTAAAATATTCTTTTAAGCATTATCTTTCTTTATAATATTCCAAACAAACATAGGATTGAATAGAATAGTCATTTATTGATATCTAATCCCATGACTAATCAAACATGAAATAAACATCATTTTCAATTAAATAGTCCGAGGACTATGTATCCCAAGATTAGCAATCCGATGGATTATAATTCCTTTTATCCAATCCGTTCAAACAAATATGACCTTAGTTCATTGCTAATATCCTTGGCTGATTTGGCTGCCATGAAACCATTTTTTCAGTAATAAGTTTACAAATATAGAAATCAGTTATAAAATTAGATACAAAATATAAATAAACATAATTTTTTTTTCAAAAGTTCACCCCTTCTGTCAACCTAATAAATTCTTATCTATTCATATGTATGTATTTTGTATCCAATTACGTGATCGGTTTATATGTTTGTAGCTATTATACCTATATCATGGTGAACATGGTTATATACCATGTAAACCATTCAGCCGCCTCCTTTGGCGCACAATCCAAGCCGAGAGAGGAAATAATATGTATTGTATTAAATGTATTTAATCATATATAATAGAAGGTCTGTATATATAGACTAAGAAAAAGTATCCTATTAGAAATCTAACTATGAGAAAGAGTATCCTATAAGAAACCTAATTATGACAATACCTAATATATTTAGGAAATTAATACATAATATATATAGAAATATATACCATATATACATTAACAGTAGCAAAGCTATTTTTCATGAGTAACAATTTAAAGAAATTTAGTACTACATCACCTTATTCGTATTAAGTACCCTTGGCACTCAAATAATATTACACTACGATTGATAGCGATTCATTTTAAACTTTTGATACGAATAAAAAAACAAAAAAACCTTGCAATTTGGAGAAGCATTCATCATCTATGTGCTCCAATTTTTCTCCTCACACCTACTATTTGGTTATGGAAAAATAAGATGCGAATGGTTGATGCGAAAGGGTGTGTGATTTGTAAGTTGGCAAAAAGGTCTGCATCGAATAAATGATATACCAAAAAAAGAAAAGGAAAAAGGGTATCAAATCTAATAATCTTTTGCATGTAATGAATAATGATTTGGGCTTTGGTAATTATCAAAAAAATAAAAATAAAATAAAATAAATTGATTTGGGCTTTGGTGTTGCATTGCAGTTAGAGGAGTCAAATTTCACAAAGTTGTGTAGCACAAAGAGCATGTTAACGGTAAATGGAAGCTTTCCAGGACCAACCCTTCGCGTCCACAAAGGAGACACTGTCTATGTCAATGTCATAAATAATGGAAACTATGGCGTTACTATTCACTGGTAATTTCTCTCTCTCCCTTGCACGTGTGGGCTTGCACGTGTGGGCTTACACCCAAGTAAATGACTCATTTTTCATTTTTAAAAAAATTAATTAATTGAGAAGAGATAGAAAAAGAATCAATTACAAATCGTAACATAAAATCTAGAAGTACAGGGATAAATCTAAGTTTAATTTTTATTTCTGTGTTGAGTTTTAGTTGATATACCTAATTTATAGGTGATTTGAGTCTACTGGTTGGACTTGGGTCCATTGTGAACTTATTTTAAAGTATTTTGTAAAATAATATAGAAACTCATTAGACCATCTCCAACGGTGAATCAAACCCAGCATCAAATTCAAATTTTGATGAAAAATCTACTTTTTCAAGCTCCAACCGTTGCACCAGATTGATATCAAAATGAAATTTCAGCAAAAAATGTATCAAACTGAGAACGAGACACAGATTTTACCAAATCACTGTTACTAACCGTTGAAAGAGGTACACCGGTCAACCAGTAAAAGATCCAAACAGTTCAGGAAAAAAAGTTCAAACCGTTAAAATAGATTTGGTGAAAGGTGAACCGTTGGAGCGAGTGGTATCAATTTAGTGAAATGGGTCATTTTTTACTCAAATTTAGTGAAAAATTTGAGTCACCGTTGGGGATGCTCTTGCCTCTGTTTGGCAAGTTAGCTTTCAGGCTTTTTTTGGCTATTTTAGCCACAAAAAACAAAATAGGCTATTTTAGCCATAACAAACAAAATATCACATCCAACCCATAATCATTACATTCTTCTCTCACAAAAAAAAAAAAAAAATTTACCTAACCGGTCAACCGGCCGGTCGACCCGGGATAGATTTGGTAAAAGGTGAACCGTTGGAGCGAATGGTATCAATTTAGTGAAATGGGTCATTTTTTACTTAAATTTGGTGAAAAATTTGAGTCACCGTTGGAGATGCTCTTATAGAATGATATTGTAAATATTAATTGTTATCATTTTAAAACAAAAGTCATGCTAGCAAATGTCACTGAAAAAATAATAATAACAATAATAAATGTAAAATTATTCACTAATTTCAAAAACTTTTTTTAAGGTTTTTTTTTTTTTTTTTTTTGACCGAAATTCAAAGCACATTTTGTACAAATCTTAAAATTAAACAATTATCCTAAACAATGTATAATGGTGATACCATCTCATATGATATCTATCGGACAATAAAAATCACAAATGAAATTGCGTGGACATGTATTATTTCTTACTAACCCAATCATGTTGCGGTAATAAAGCGAGCTTACTCATTTAACATCGATGATAGGGTTATGTAATACCACTCTTATGTCCAATATTTACTCGAATGTTTTAGGGCAATTGTGCTAGCATTTGTGTTAAACAAAACAGGGAAATGTTATGGCGTGCACATTTTAAGAAAACAAATACTATATGCACTCTACCACTAAATGTGAACTTTATTACAAATTTTTTTAATATCAATCACAAAATGTGTAATCTCATTATAAATTAACATAACAAAAAATATCGTAACTAAAGTCACAAACTTTTGTAACATCAATTACAAAATTTTGAACATTTTATTATGTCAATTTGTGTTGAGATTATATGTTTTGTGATTTTACAAAATTTTGTGATAAATTACACAATTTGTGATAGGGGTGCATGTGCATGGGACAACCCTAAAACAAATGATCTGTTCGGGGAGCAAATATTCCGGCAAGCCCGTACTCCTTTCTTCCAAGCTCCGTTTACGTCCGATCACCTGCGAGCAAATAACGGTGAGCTGCCTGGCGGTGTGTGACTGGAAAAACCTCCGACGATCAAGTTAGCACACACCTTAGGATAGAGAGAGAGAGAGAGGAGTGATAGTTTTCTTACAAAGTGTTCATCTGTCGGTATGGGGGGGCGCAGACATGCTTATATACCCTCTGCGCCTCATGTCCACTCTCAGTCATCTCCCGACACGTGGCTCTGCTATCCCATCTGTCAGCATAAACCTTGCTGAACATCACTTAATCCCAACTGCCCGCCCTCTCAGTTGGAGCTCGGCAGCCGAGCTTCTCCATCCGCGGCCGTGCTGTGCTTCATACCCAAGCACTTCACTGGCTAAGCCCAGGGAGGACCGGGCTAGGCGGCATCTCGGCAAAGCCGAGCCCGGGGCACCTCCTGTGGTCGGCCTTCCTGCCGATCAAATGGTTACCTCGGCCGACCACGTCTTTCCGGGCGCCGGTCACTCAGCTTGTCTGGCTTCCACCATCCCCTGATCAAGCAGCTCGGTCCAACCGAGCACTGCCTTGTCGAGCAGCTTCTTTATGGTCTGGGGCGGCACACACTTGGCCCAATTTCTGCCCGACCCAAGTTCTGGCAGCCCATCTCCGGGCGGATAGTCGATCATCTCGGCCCTATGCACCATTGGGCTCTCAACCTGCTTGGCCGTTACATCGGCCCAATTCCAGATCATAAATCCCCCTCTCAATTGCCCCTTAATTCCGTCTGCAAGAGCGTGACTGGGATTACCTATACTTCGACCGGGGTAACATCTCTTCGGTCTTCAAGATGACAAAGGGCGACCGGGCTAGTTAACATAACTGTCTGCAAACTTGCCCGGTTATACTCCTCGGCTGACGTCCTCTTCTTCGAAAGTAGCCCGGTTGGCTCTTCGACTCTTCAACCTGTCTCTTCAGTTCTGACGTCGCCATAAATGGGGACACGTGACGGGCTGCCATTGGTTCTCGAGCAGCCAACCCGCCTTGTCTAATCTAACTAAGGAGCTCGGTCGCCCAAGCAGACCAGATGTTACCCGGTTGAGCGGCCAAGTCCTTTTGTTTCCGTTTTTCTGGGATTGAGACAAACATGTTATTTGCTCGTTAGATTGGTTTTTTGGATCAAATGAAGACAGGAGCCCGGTCCGCCCCAGTTCTTCAGTGGTTCTTCAGGAAAATGAAGAACACCAAGACAGTGGGAGGTTTGGGACCGGTTTCTATGGCCTATGCCCTAAGAGCTACGTTTTAGTGCCCTAATGTGTGTAATATTAATGAAAATAGCAACAAAAGAGGGATGAAGGTCTTACTAATGAGGGGCAACTGCTTTTCCTTCGAGCACAAACGCAAAGAACGGCAAACGAGGCCTGGACAAGGATGCTAGAGCTCTGGAGTGAATAAAGCAATGGCAGTAGGAGGAAATTGGAGTTTGGGGAGGTCTTTTATGTATATGACAAGGGAGAGGACCGCCCAAATTCAAATTCTGGCAAAAACGGCGGGTTGGCTAGCTCGAGAACCAATGGCAGCCCGCCACGTGTCCCCATTTAGGGACGTCAGAACTGAAGAGACAGGTTGAAGAGTCGAAGAGCCAACGGTGCTCTTTCGAAGAGAGGACGTCAGGAGGAGTATAACCGGGCAAGTTTGCAGAAGTTATGTTAACTAGCCCGGTCGCCCTTTGTCATCTTGAAGACCGAAGAGATGTTATGCCCCGGTCAAAGTATAGGTATCCCAGTCACGCTCTTGCGGACGGAATTAAGGGGCAATTGAAGAGGGGGATTTATGATCTGGAATTGGGCCGATGTAACGGCCAGCAGGTTGAGAGCCCAATGGTGCATGGGGCCGAGATGATCGACTATCGCCCGGAGATGGGCTGCCAGAACTTGGCGGGCAGAAATTGGGGCAAGTGTGTGCCGCCCCAGACATAAAGAAGCTGCTCGACAAGGCATGCTCGGTTGGACCGAGCTGCTTGATCAGGGGATGGTGGAAGCCAGACAAGCTGAGTGACCGGCGCCCGGAAAGCGTGGTCGGCCGAGGTAACTTTGATCGCGGGAAGGCCGACCACAGGAGGTGCCCGGCTCGGCTTTGCCGAGATGCCGCTAGCCCGGTCCTCCCTGGGCTTAGCCAGTGAAGTGCTTGGGTATAAAGACAGCAACGGCCGCGATGGAGAAGCTCGGCTGCGAGCTCCAACTGAGAGGGCGGGCAGTTGGGATTAGGTGATGTTAGCAAGGTTTTATGCTGACAGATGGGATAGCAGAGCCACGTGTCGGGAGATGATGAGAGTGGAATATGAGGCGCAGAGGGTTATAAGCATGTCTGCGCCCCGCTACCGACAGATGAACACTTGTAAGAAAACTATCACTCTCTCTCTCTCCTCTCTCTATCCTAAGGTTGTCTAACTTGATCGTGGAGGTTTTCCGCCACACACCGCCAGGCAGCTCACCGTTATTTGCTCGCAGGTGATCGGACGTAAACGGAGCTTGGAAGAAAGGAGTACGGGCTTGCCGGAAATATTTGCTCCCGAAGATCATTTTTTTTTAGGGTTGTCCCATGCACATGCACCCCTATCACAATTGTGTAATTTATCAAAAATTTTGTAAAATACAAAAAATATAATCTCAACACAAATTGACATAATAAATGTAAAATTTTGTAAATTGATGTTACAAAAGTTTTGTGACTTTAGTTACGATATTTTTTGTTATGTTAATTTATAATGAGATTACACATTTTTGTGATTGATATTAAAAAAATTTTGTAATAAGTTCACATTTAGTGTAGAGTGCATATAGTATTTGTTTTCTTTAAAAGTGCACCCATAACATTTCCCTGTTTTGTTTAACACAAATGCTAACACAATTGCCCTAAAACATTCGAGTAATATTGGACATAAGAGTGGTATTACATAACCCTATCATCGATGTTAAAATGAGTAAGCTCGCTTTATTACCGCAACATGATTGGGTTAGTAAGAAATAATACATGTCCACGCAATTTCATTTGTGATTTTTATTGTCCATAGATATCATATGAGATGGTATACCATTATACATTGTTTAGGGATAATTGTTAATTTTAAGATTTGTACAAAATGTGCTTTGAATTTCGGTCAAAAAAAAAAAAAAAAAAACCTTAAAAAAGTTTTTGAAAATTAGTGAATAATTTTACATTTATTATTGTTATTATTATTTTTTCAGTGACATTTGCTAGCATGAACTTTTGTTTTAAAATGAAAAATTATTATTTTACAA